GACAAGGCGTGGAGCTTCATTAATTTCTTTCAAATCTATTTGAAATATTTTCAAACCTACTTTCAAACCTATTTTAAAGTATTTTGAATTTATTTTAAATGATTTTAAGCCTATTTTAAATATTTGGAACATTTAAAATTATCTTAAATTTGGTTTTTAAAGTTTTTAAATTTATTTTACATCTTTGAAACTTATTAAATATTTTAAATTTAAGTATTTGGAAACCTCTTTTAAACGTTTTGAAGCCTATTTAAAATATTTGGAACGATTTTTAAATTATTTTAGATCTATTTTATGTTTTAAAACCTATTTTATAATTTTAAACCTATTTTAAATATTTGAAACTTTTAAAATATTTTGAATCTGTTTTAAAATGTTTTACAATTTATTTTACATCTTTGAAACCTATTGTTAAATATTTTCAATTTAAATATTTGGAAACCTCTTTTAAACGTTTTGAAACCTATTTCAAATATTTGAAACGATTTTTAAATTCTTTCAGATTTTATGTTTTTAAACCTCTTTTAAATATTTTAGAACTATTTTTAAATAATTTAATCTGAGTTAAATATTTTTAAACCTGTTTTAAAACCTATTTTAAATATTTGAAACCTATTTTAAAATATTTTGATATGTTTTAAATATTTGAAACCTGTTTTAAAATCTATTTTAAATCTATTTTATGTTTTTAATTTTTGAATATTTGCATCCTATTTTTAAATATTATACATTTTAAATATTTTTAAACCTATTTTAAATATTTGAAACTGTTTCAAAATCTTTTTTATGTTTTCAAACCTATTTGAAACCTGGTTTAAAATCTATTTTAGGTTTAAAATCTATTTTAAACCTAATTTTAAATCTTTTTTTAATCTAGTTTATATTTTTAAACCTTTTTTCAATATTTTTAAACCTATTTTAAATACATTTTTTTGTTTCATTTGTGAGATCCGTAGGTTCCATTTAAACGTGTTTTATCCCCATTTTTAGTACTCTTTAAAATACATCTTTCTATCATTTATTTAATATTATTTAATATTTATAAATGGCCAAAAATGAGCTAAACCCTTTTTTTACATAAATTACCCGCAGCAAAAGGGGATGTGGCAGCAACAGGGGGAGGAACAAGGGAATTTAAAGGGAATCTCCTCATTTCCTCTGGCCGAGGGATAACGGTTCCTTCCCGGGATAAACCCGAGTGGAAAACAAACCCGGGCAAATCCTGGAAGTTTTCTTCATCCTTCCGTACCCGCACAAAACACGTCGATTTTTTGGTTTGTTTTAGGGGTTTAGTAACGGGCTCCGACGTCGCTGGTGGCATGAGCAGCGCTCAGGCTGCAGCTGCTCCTTTTTATTCTCATTTAAGCTAGTGAAATTTTGTACTTCCCTGTTGCCTCAACCTCCTGCCGCCTCCTTAAACCAACAAGTTGAAGCAGCTAAAAAAAAAAAATAAAATTTGAGTTTCCAGCCCCATATCACGCAGCTGCGTGGGGTTAAGCACTGGCAGAGGAGAGGAGCCCCTGGTCTTACTTAGGCCAGCCTAAAGCCAGACCTTGCCACGCCGGAGGGGTTTAGGAGGATGAAGAAGGACCTGGCTTGAGCAAGTGAGCGCGTGTCGTGTGGCCGTCGTCTGCTGGGACGGGCTTAAATCCCGGGTGGCTCCTGTCGGCACGTCCCCATCCCCCTTTGGGGTGGTGGGGCCACCCCCGTGGTGCTGCACCCCGTAAAATCTCCTCACCCCAAAGACCTGCAAGGCCCTGCTGCATCCCGCCTAGTGCAGCTCGGCGATGGAAATAAGCGGAGCCTCAGGATTAAAGCTTGGCTCAGCCCAGCCACAGGAGTATCGGGACGCCGCGGGTCTTGCACAGTCCCCAGGGTGGGTGCGGGAGGAGCAGGCAGGCCTGGGAGGAGCAGGCAGGACTCGGGGTTTTTAATTAGCCTTAACGATGTTGTCCTGTTGTCTTCTTGCAGCGGAGAAAGTGGATGTAATTGCTGGTTCCTCTAAGATGAAGGGGTTCTCCTCCTCCGAGTCTGAGAGCACCAGCGAGTCCAGCTCCTCCGACAGCGAAGATTCAGAAACAGGTTAGACGCAGCTTATTTAACGACTCAGTCCTAGACCTGGTTTCTGTATAAATAAATATGTTTTAATTCCTGGCTCGGTCTTTTAATTATTTTAATTTTTTTTTTTTTGGTCTTTATAATAAAAAAAAACAAAAACCAAAACCAAGCTACGCAGCCGCGTGTTGCTCAGTTTTGGGCCCGACACAGACAGCTTGGCGAGAGCGATGTTGTCTCTGGCGGTTCTTAAGCCCGACACAAATTTTTTTATAAGTTTTTCCTTCCTTAGACACGAGCGCAGGAGCCAAAAAAACCAGTTCTTTGACTGGTTAGTGACCTAGATTTGTATTTTTAGAAAAACACTGTATTTTTCCCTCAAATAGGGGTTTCAAACGTTGTCGCCAGCACCACTTGCGCCACAAAAAAATGGAGAAAGGTGGAGGAAATGGGGTTTTTAACGTGTAAAAGCCTTTTTATTTTATGGCATCGGGCAGATCCTGAGAAAAAAAAAGGATTTAAAATTAAATTTTAAATGAGCAGAGTGGCGCCTGCTCTGGGTAACTCTTTGCTTCTCCCTCGTACCACCATCGTTCGGGTTTAAATTAAGAGTTTTCTCACGTTCTTAATTATTACACTTGCCTTATTAGCGTTCCCTCCTTGGTTTTAGAGAAGCAAAGCTTGTGCCGTCACTTAAAGCTTTTTTTTCCTCCTAGCTGCTAACTCAGCTTGGACTCCGGAGGTTAAGCTGGGCTTAACCCAGCACTTAAGTCAACGGTAAGACTTTTGCATCTCCAGCGGGTTGGGAAATCAGGAGATGCACGTGGCAGAAAATAATCTGGATTTATTTTCGTGGCTGGGTTGGGTGCGTAGGACAAACAGCACCGAAAAAAAAAGGAGCGGAAATTTAAAAATGAAATAAATAAACCCCAAAAAATAAAGCAGAATTGATTGGACTTGCCTTTGAGCTGGTGCTGGCGACGCTTCCCAGTGAGCCTCCGCTTTTTTAGGATGTGTTTTCTGGGATAAGTTTGGAGTCTGAGAGATTTGAACATATTTACCTACTTTAGTGTATTTTTTAATAGAATTAAGTTTTGGTTGGTTTTTGTGGTTTTTTAAAGGAGGTTGAAAGGTTTTGATGGAGCGTTTCGGGTCGACTCTCAGCAATCAGAAAATTTAATTATTTGGTGCTAAATTCTGCCCTGGCTTGATGGGGAAAAGCAAAACCTGCTGTATTTAACTCTTCAACGAGTTTTTATCCAATTTATCTTGATTTCTGCCAAGCTCACGATTGCATCAACCAGAATAAACCCGAGTTTATCTGGACCCACCTTACCAGGTCGCCTTAATCTTGGCCGCAACATCGGCTCATCCCAACCCCAGAGCCGTTTTAATCCCAGTCCCGTTTCCACATGGAGCCCATCCCATAACATTTACCCACTAAACTCATCCTCTACAAATGCCCCAAACTCTCTTTTATTTCAAATTCTCTCTTTTTTTCCCCCAAAGCTGACGGGTAGCTCCCCAGCCTGGTAGCAGAATCCTCAGCCAGGTTGGGTTTTGGGTGATGATTTATTGGGATGATCTCAGGGATCCCTCCGGAGCTTGGGGGACAGGGATGTGAGCTCTAAGGTGGGAATTTTTGGGATGCCCTGGCGCCAAAGGCTTCTCGTTCTAACGAGCAGCACTAATTAAAATCTAGAAAAGCCCCAAAATTTTCTCCCATCGCTCTCGCTCTGGCAGAACCAACCTCAGAGCAGACAGTGCTCTTTTGTTGAGTGTTTCTCCCCAAACGGTGGCCTGTTGGATGCGGACGAGCACGGGTTGCTCTGGGCATTTTGGAGTTTTTTAGACGCTTTTGTCCTCTTTCTGGCTGCTTTTCCCCAAATCCAACATCTCCCCTCAGTGTTGGCCATCCCAGTTGGGAGTATTTAGGATTTGCTTGGCCGACGTAGACCGACATGCCCACCCTTGGGATGAATCCAACCCCCTTACGCTTTGGATAGGAGGTTAATTAAGAGAATTAATCTCTTTGGTTCAATTAATTTCCAATACTGATGGGTTTTTGCTCTCCTAAACCATTTTTTCCTCCCTTTTCTGATAAAATACACGGTGAAAACCGTTGATCGCAGGGATCCGCCCGATATCCAGGAGGTCTTCTCCATCCTGGGATTTACAACGTTGCCCTTGAATCACTTTTTAAGTTGTATTTTAAGACCTTTTTAAGAGGTTTTGACACCTTTTAGGATGTTTTAAGAACTTTTAAGAGACGCTTTAAAATATTTGAAGACATATTTTTGACACCATGCGCTGTCCCGTTGATGATGATGTTATTTTAACGACCCTAAGCAGGACAAGGCAGTTAATTTGCTGTTGGAAAATTTAATTTTTTTTTTTTTTTCCCGGGAGGATAATGGTGGCAGTGCTTGCGCTGGCTTAAGCAGAGAATTAGCTTTAAAGCTTACTGCTAAGCTTCAAAATTTGTTCCATTTTTAATAAAAACTGGCATCTTAACGATCTTATTTTCGATTAATGAGGCTTTTATTTGCCCACTGAGCTGCTCTACGTTGGGCTTCCTTCGTGCAGGAGATAGTTTTGATTTTAAAACCGGTGGCAAAAGTCGCAAACGTGGATTTTTTTTTTTCACCTTGATTTTTGCGTTTGCTTAGGTTTATCATATTAAAAAAAAAGAAATAAATAGGCTGTTAATGCTAACGTGTACAAGCCAACGCAGACGCGATGAAATTGTAAGCTAGAATTAATTGCAATTAATTGCAGCTCCATTCTGTTCTCTTTAAGGCTTTGGCTCCCACGAGCTGCCTCTTGCCTTTTTGCAAAACAGAGCTTTTAAAATCGGAATTATTTTTATTTTATCCCCTTGAATCCATGCAACGTCTCCATCCCTCCGTGTAGCTGGCATTTAAACGCGGGTTTGGGGATTTTTTTATTAAATCAGGACTGTTTTGCCAAAAATCTGTTGAAACTCTGGAAATGGGAAGCTTCAAAGGGAGGAAAAATTGTAATACCGGTTTTGTAGCGTAGGAGATGGGACTGAGCCTTTGCCTTGAGCTCTGAGAAACCAGAGGTGCCAATCGAGAGGGTTATTCCGGTTTAACTTGTTGTAATTAGCAATTAGTGGATGCAAATGACCCCAAACTCCATCCTGGAAGCATCTAGGTAGGATTTTCTTTGCTCGGGAATGAGCTCTCTGAGCATCTTGGATGCTTCTCCCAGCTTCAAGCGTCAGCACTTGGGCTGGACTAGGCTGAGGTTTGGCAAATGCCGCCATCCTGGTGCTCGGGCAGTTTAAAACCTGGCTTATCTTTGGTGAGCACTGAATTTGGGGTTATTGAATGGCAAAATGGATGGGCTCAGCCTGTTCAGCCTCACCGCTTGACTAAGTTGGGAGTTGTATTATCCCCCAAATATTTTGGGAGATGCTTCCCAGGACGCCCAGCAGAGAGAAATCACGTGGCTGCAGTAATAAAAGTAGTGATTAAAATTTTAGCAATTAAATCCCAAGCCTCAGTTAGTTCATAGTCGCTAATTTTCCTTTTTTTTTTTCCTGAAATTTCCCAGAGGAAAATTGCATTTCTCCACGTTTTATGCAGTTGCTTAAAGGGAAACGATTTGCAGCATGCACAAGGCTGTGCAGCAGTTAGGTTTTATGAAGGATTTTTTAAAAACTGGGGTTAGAACTGGCTCAGCAATGCTGAGAAACCCGTTTTGGGGCTGGGAAGCTGCTTTTAGCAAATTTTAAGTGCTTCTGCTCAGGAGTTACCAGTCCTGTCTTTAGGAGGAGAAGCATTAATGTAAGGCTGAGTTAATCCCAGTCTGGGATTTCATGGCGTCCTAGAGTTGAAGATCCTTCAGGTTTAATTCAGGAGTATCCGGGTTTAAATCCCGAGTATTTGGATTTAATTAGCAGATAACCTGGTTTTAATTCGAAAATAGCCAGGTTTAATTTGGAGGCACCTGGGTTTGAATTGCAGGTACCTGTGGTTTAATTCAGAGATGCCCTGCTTAAATTCTGAGGCACCCGGGTTTAATTCAGAAGTACTCAAGCTTAATTCGCAGCTACTTGGGTTTAATTTGCGGGTACCAGAGTTTTAATTCACAGGTACCTGGGTTTAATTTACAGGTATCAGAGTTTTAATTTGCAGATACCTGGGTTTAGTTCAAAGCTACCTGGAACCTGCAAGTACCCAGGTTTAATTCACAGGTACTTGGTTGTAATTCAGAAGAATCGGGGCTTAATCCACAAGTAGTCAGGTTTAATCCGCAGGTGGTCAGGTTTAATCCACAAGTAGTCAGGTTTAATCCACAGATAGTCAGGTTTAATCCACAAGTAGTCAGGTTTAATCCACAGGTAGTCAGGTTTAATCCACAGGTACCCAGGTTTAATTCAGATTTACCTGGATTTAACTCCGAGTTACCCAAGTTTAATTTGCAAGCACCTGGGTTTTATTTAAAGGTTTAACGTGCAGGTACCCAGGTTTAATCCACAAGTACCCAGGTTTAAATCAGAGGCACCCGGGTTTAACCCACAGGCACCCATAGCTGTGGGTGCTGGTGAAGCTCAGTCCCAGCCACCGAGATCCACCCCACATCCTCCGTGTGCTGGTTTATTTTAGTTTTAATCCTCACTCCATTTCCCTTTGAGTTTGAGAGAGAGACGGATTGATTTAACCCAGCCACTGATTTTTTTTTGCAAGTAGATTTGTGCCTTCGGAAGTAATTTTCTCATTTTTGCCCCATTCCCAGGCTTAGTTTCTGGGCCGCAGTGTAAGATAGGAGGGACTTAAGAGTCCCTCATTGACCTAACGTGAGTCTTCCCATCTTTTTTGCTCGGCAGGAGAGGACAGAGATCTGTTAGGCTCAGTTTAACCACATTTGCCTACTGTGGAGTGGGTACAGTCAGGAACTGCAGTTAATCTGGGCTTAAAGGACACTCAGATCATCACTGGCGGATGGTCGGTGTGTAGGCGGGACCTTTGTGCCAATACCAGTGCAAGGAAAAACCCAAATCCCTTTAGTTTTACCCTAAAACCACTTCCCCGTCGCTTTGCTAGAGGATGGGTCTCAACAAAGCCTCCCCGGGTGCCGTATGGTGCCTCGTTATTACCAGCATCCCATCAAGCAGCTTTTGGGTCAAATTAGGCAAATTTTGGCGTATTTAGTGGGATTTGGAGAATAACAGCTGACCCGATCGTTCCGCTAGCAGCGCCGCAGTCCCCAGTGTGCTCAGTTTTGGGGGGGATTCATGGGGTCGTCCCTGGGGTGGGTGAAGTCACCACTCCCATCTCTAAGAGCAGAATTAGTTAAAATTAATATTTTCCACTGAAAAAAAAAAACCAAAAAAAACCAAAAACAAACAAAACCCAAAAAAAACACTGTTGAATCCAGGAGGCCTGGTTGCGGCTCTGCTGCTCTAACAGCAAATAGAGATTCCCTTTTATATTAAAAAAAAAATTTATAACCAATATTATATCAAAAAATTGCTTTCTGAATGTTTTTTTTTAAAAAAAAAAAAAAAGGTCAATCTTAGCATTTATTATTATATTTTCTGCAAATAATTTGTTATTTTCCCTGGGGGAATTACGTGGGATCGTGATTTGATTGGAATGTATAACTGCATGTTTTTAGCAAACTTGTAATTTTAGATCTTTTTTTTTTTCCTAAATGCACCAGCCTTGGAAAATCAGGGTGAATTTAACTACAAACAAATTGTTTCCATAACCGCTTTTATTTAGATGATTTTTTTTTTCTTTCCACTTAACCTTGATCTGCTACAAATACTTTATATAAATCTGTTTATTTTTATATTCTCTCTGCATGTTTCGGGATTTTGCAGCCATGTAACCACTAGCTTCTTTCTCCCCTAAAAAAAAAAAAAAAAAAAAAAAAGAGAAAAATTGTATAGCTTTGATATTTTAATTCTTAAAAAAATAAATAAAAGTGGCTTGCTACGGAAAATGCAATTTTTTGTATAATCATGAAATTTTAACCAATAATGTGGAAATTCTGATAGTGAACAATATTTGCTATTTTGGATAAATTTGGGTGGGAGTAAAAGATGAGGATTTAGGGAAAAATAAAATATATACACATGGCTGTCAAGATGCAGGTAGGAGCGGAGCCTCATGCACCGATTTAACCTTTCTGCTCTAAAAACATCTTGAATTGACATCACAGAGATTTACCTTTTTCTTTAATCCTGGTGATTTTTTAGCCCCGTGAATGAGATTTAACCGGCCGGCGTGAAATGGGGTCGGAAATGGGACGGGGCTTCTTCTGGGTGCTCTTGTTCCCCGGGGAGATGCTGGTAGAGAGGTGGAACCACCCAACGCCAGCTGTGACCCCGCTGCCATCTTCAGTGGTGAAGAAGCTTCATCTTCTGGTTGGCATCTCCAGAATGACCGATGCCACCGGGGCCATCAAAGCTTTGCCGCTCGTGGTCTCCATTGGCTTCGTCTTCCTGGTGAAGATGGCCAGTGTGAAACACTGTCAGGGTTGAAGACAGGATGGGGCTTATTCTTGGTGCTTTTGGTCCCCGGGCTGACGCCGAACGGCACGATACCAACCGTAACCCAACAGCCATCGGTAGTGGTGAAGAATTCTCATCCTTTGGTTGCGTTGGCCAAGCTCATTGCATCTCAGAAATCACCGATGCCACTGGGTGATTCCCCTCGGGACCGTGGTGGCTTTGCCCCACCACCCACGGTCTCCGTTGGCTTCATCTTCTTGGTGAAGGTTCTTCCAAACAACCCGTTCACCAGCGGGTGATTTCAGCCATGGTGGCAGTTGGTTCCGGTGGCGGGATTCACCCATCCTGCTGCAGGGTCTTGCCTCAGTTTGTTGTGGCGATATTCCAAGACCGATGGCAAAGCCCACGTCGAAAAAGCCCCCCTGGGAGAACCGTCGGGTTGTGGCACGTTGGAGGGTGGAAGGAGAAGAGCGTGACCATCTTCCCCCCCAAAATCGGAGCAGGGATGCACTCTGCCGGATCACGCTGCTTTTTTGGGGAACCACGTGATCCCTCCTGATCCTGGCTTACTCCACAGCTTTTCTCTTCTCTTCCCACCCGCCACCTGTGCTTGGCGCGTTTCTCCCGATTCGGGCTTTTCTTTACCATCCTATGAGCACTTTTATCCTGATTAATCACAACTCGGGGGGGGGGGGCTG